TGGTATGCGGCTGCTATGCTGGTGGTATGCGCCTGCTATGCTGGTGGTATGCTGGTGGGCTGCTATGCTGGTCTTATGCGCCTGCTATGCTGGTGGTATGCGGCTGCTATGCTGGTCTTATGCGCCTGCTATGCTGGTGGTATGCGCCTGCTATGCGCCTGCTATGCGCCTGCTATGCGCCTGCTATGCGCCCGCTATGCGCCCGCTATGCGCCCGCTATGCGTCTGCTATGCGGCTGCTATGCGGCTGCTATGCTGGTGTATGCCGTGGCTGGTGTATGCCTGGTGGTCGGCCCCCTCTGCCGTCGGAGCCGCGGCCAAGGCGTCGACCGCTCGCCCTGGTCGTGCTCACGTGATCCCTCGCGTCCCCTTCCCGTCGAGTCCTGCCTGCCGACCGCTGTGACATGTCGTCATGTCACAGCATGCTGCTCGTCGTCGTCGCAGTCGTGGCGACTTCCCAGGCGACGGACGGACGCCTCTGCGAGTCGGAGTGACAAATAAAAACGAAACGAAGCTGTACACGGCCGTAGCCGGGGCCTAGACGGCGCCGGCCGTCGCGGCCGGCGGCGCGGCGAGGTCCTCCTCGGCGGCGAGCTGGGTGAGCATGGTCGTGATCTGCTCGAGCTCGAGGCCCTTGGTCTCGGGCACGTAGGCGTGGATGAAGTACATGCCGTAGACCGCGAGGGCGCCGAAGACGAAGAAGGTGAAGGACACGGAGAAGGCGATGAGGGGCGAGGCGAGGAGGGTGACGACGCCGTTGAGCGAGAAGTTGAGGAGCACCGCGAGCGCGAGCGCGGAGCCGCGGGGCTGCAGGGGGAAGACCTCGCTGATGTAGGTCCAGGTCACGGGCCCGTAGCCGACCTGGTAGCCGCCGACGTAGAGGGAGAGCGTGACGATGGACGTCCAGGCGAGGGCGCCGCTCGCCATGTCGAGGAAGAGCGCCGCGACGGCGAGCGACCCCATGGACGCGATCATGATCGCGGACCCGCGCTGGAGCAGCGGCACGCGGCCGTAGGTGTCGATGAGGCGCACCGTGAGCATGGTCGCGACGAGCTTCCAGGCGCTGAGGCCGATGGACGCGCCCACGCCCAGGTCGTAGTCCTCGAAGATCTCCGTGACGTAGTAGAGCACGGACGGCTGCCCCGTGACCTGGGCAGGACGAGAGTGCGAAATTCCCAACTTCAAAGGCTCCTCTCTCGGCCGTTTTCCACTCGTTTCGGCTGATTTTTGGACGAGCGATCATCTCTCGGAACGGTCTCGACGCGTGGATGACTTTTCCGGAACGCGCGCGCGCGGAACGCTCACGTTGAAGCGACGTTGAATCACTCGTGTCCCGCCCCGCCCGTGACCTGCTGGAGCA